AGAGAGAGAGAGAGAGAGAGAGAGAGAGAGAGAGAGAGAGAATGTGTATGTGTGTGTGTGTGTTTGTGTGTGTGTACGTGTGAAAGGGGGGGGGGCGTTTATTATCAATATAGGATCAATTATTAGTGTCAATGGGTTACATGATTATGTTTTTTTTCCTTTCTTCCAAATCTCCAAAATATTACTTTCTAATCTTGGAAAAGAGGGGAGAAGGAGGGGGTGGGTTGAATAAAACAAACGACTATAAGAGTGCAAAAAAGTAGGCTTGTCTTGATTCATTACGTCTTCTTCTCCTTTTTATTGTCGAAGAAGGATCTGTTGTTGTTATTGTTTTTTTAAAGTTTTTTGGGGGGGAGAAATACATTTGTGAAGTTCCTGTCGGTTTCTTCCACTCTTCGGTATCACATTTCTTCCTACATGAACTCACTGTACCGGTACAGCGTCTATGGTGAAGCGTTCAGGCCGTTCAGGCGCTTCGCCGTCGCACGCAGGAAACCGGAGTTCGATTACCGTGTGGGGAGACATTTTATCGAGTTTCTCTGTCTTTCTACTGGAACGTTGAATATCTCTCAGCTGGGGTTGGCCTTGACAGGCATGGTCGAAGACCGCCTCCAAAATGTACTAAATTATGTCGATGTGGGGTGTAAGACACCAACTTCTCCAACTGTCAAGTTTGGAGTAGCTGACGATCGTGGTGCCCCACTCCTTCCTATTATCTGTCTTCATGATCTGCTCAGTTTTTCTCATTGTATTATTTGTTGCAAAGTTGTTCAGGCCATCTGTGTTTGTTGCTCTCTGTCTTCATCTGCTCTTCTTTCCCTTTATCTTTCTACACAGCAGCAGTTTCTCCGGCCCATTTAATCTATTTATGTGGCCAAAAAATGTTAGTTGTCCCCTTCTGATGTTTCTAGTCATAGATCTTTCACACCCGGCCATTTGTTTGGAGAACTTCTCTATGTGTTTTCCTCTCTGCCCATGAAATTATGAGTATTCTCATCAAATACCACATTTCGGTCGATTCCAGTCTTCTCTATGCGTCCCTGCCAGTAGGCTATAGAGTCCAGCTATCCCATCTATACAAAAGGATTGACCACACGTACGCTTTCAGCTCTCACTGCTGTGTTCTCTGTTAAGTTTCTGTTTCAAAGGATAAGCTTCATCTTGTTGAACGTTTCTTTAGATATGGCAATTCTCTTTTTTAAAATCTACGTGTCACTTTTTTCCATATGGTGTAATTGTACAACCAAGGCGTTTATAGTTGTAAGCCTGTTTTATTCTTTCGTTCTTTCACGTAACGTTGCATTGTATTTCAATTTTTGAAAGAAAAAAAAAAGGTGAGGGCGGACATATTTGGAAAACCCCCCACCAAAACACCGTGATGGCGACAGCGACCGAACATTCATCTAAGATCCCTGTCTCAAGTTTCCAAATCTTCTCGAATGAAAACACAAAACTCAGCGAATGTACACACAAGCCATAGATTTGGCGACAAGACATTGGATCAAGAAACACGAAGTTGTTGCGTCACTGTAGGCTCTAACTTATTGTTAGCTTGACTGTACTGATGTGTACTTCTTATACTCGAGCTCACAGTTCAACTAAAAAGGCTTCGTATTATTATAGCAACAAGGCTTCACATAGAATAACAAAAAATCTTCACCTAAGGAAACAATAACACTTCATGTTGTGATTATACGTACATTTTTTAATAAACAGTACATAACTCGAGCACATACAGATCGGTGTTATTCCAGTATCCTCAAGTACGTTTCCGATTTGTACCAGCAAGATGTCAAGCATTGCTTACTTTTACTTCCTTCGCTAGGATCTTATGTCAAAAGGATGAAACATAGAGAAGACGATCTTGCCTTGGCTACATCTGTAATTTTCCCCACCTCTCTTCCGTACCGTGCCTATCCTTCTCCCAAGCAACACCGATTCTTTCTCTTGACACATTCTCTATCAGTTTATTCTCTATCCCATGAGTTAGCAGACCTCAGTTTATATGGCTCCTGCATCAAATTATTACCGACCTGAATTGTTCGTCCACATCTATAATTAATTAGTTGCTAGTTCGGGTGATCGGTATCTTCCTTTAATTGTTTCCGCACTAAAGAGAATATTATATTGATATTGGCCTTACACAGGCAGA